GCACGCACAGAGAGAGAGGGGGGGAGGGCGTATTCGAATGAATAACAGCCGCGTCAATGTTGTTCTCGGAACTTTTATTACCTATCGCCATTCAAAGAAGAAAACAAGTACGCTTTTAAGAAGGAAAAAGATTGATCTATGTGGGAAACATGAGTAATCGCATCGCTTTTACTCCTCGCGGTGATGCCGCTGACTACCACATACTATTCTTTTCTGGCTAACGTTAACGCACAGGTCCTTTAACGGGAAGAGCCCTTTTCTTCTTTGAAACATTTAAAATGAGGTTTCCTTTCTGCGCCACGGTTTACGTTTCGCGCCTTTCCCTCCTTCTTCGTATTCGCTGCAATCAGCTCTTCTCGCCCTGATGAACCTCCCGCACAGGCGCGACTTGCCATAGATGGTTGCCTACCGAATTGAACTACGCATAGTAGATAGACTTGCAACCGCTGACTTCAAATACATGTACATATAATGAGGGGAAAAAAAACTTTCCTTCTGCTTGTCTTTGGCCATAATACACTATTCATGATCCTTTGTCGCTGAAGGAAACCCTTTGGGGGGCACACGCAGACGAGAATCATCCTTCTGGAACAGCGCACTTGTGCTACTATTACTACGGCGCCGCGTGCTATTGCCCTGAACCGAAGAAACTGGCGGTGCGGGTCTCGGTAAATCCGTAGTAGTAATGGTAGTAGAAGCAGAAGCCGAAATAGGAGAGGAGGGATGAGAGAATACGGTGGTGGAGTCGGGAACGGCTTCGTCCTGTGGCGCACTCGCACCTGCCGCCAGCATGTTGTTGCGTCCCACCGCCTCCCCCTCCCATTCGTCCTCGTCGTCACCGATGGCTGCCACGGCGCCAACGCTGGGCCGCCCAATCGCTGCCTGCTCCTGCAGCCGCCTCCGCAGGACGTCCGCCCACAGCTGTTTCGAGAACTCAGCTTCCTCCTGCCGCCGCTGCGCTTCCAGCAGCCGCCTCGTCCGCTCACTCGCCGACTGTAGCGGCTGATATCCCGTGATGTAGACGATGACGAGCAGGACGGTGAAAGCAACGAGGAGCAGCAACGCTGGTGGGCAGTTGCTCTGACGCTTGCGGGGCTCGCCGCGATGCACGCACGCGGCGCCCGTGTTCACCAACACCACCTCCACACTCGCGAAAGCATCTTCCTCGTGCGCGCGTTTGCGTACCTGCGACAGCCGCTCCGTCACGCTCAACATGTTTGCAACGCAGAGAGTCCGCTATCGTCACCGGAGTGGGGGCTTTGTGTTTGATAGGGGTAAATAAACGAATGTACGTGCGCCGGTGAAGCGCGAATACATAAATGCCTAAAAAAGTAGAGCAATCGTTAGAGCGTGGGTTTTCTTTTCTTTTTCGGAGGGGAGCAGTGGTACGGTAGAAGAGCAGACGGCGCCAAACGCATAAACGCTAAGTGCATATATACAAAGTAGCGCTACGTGTGCGTGCGTTGCTCGTTCAGACCTACTCAGAAAAGAAACGAAAAGAAAGAACCCCGCTTAGAATGCGGGATCTAGCCAGTCGAAGAACAAAGAAGAAGAATAACAAACAAATATATATGTGTAACTAAATAAATGAATCACGGAAGGAGGTGACGAGATGGTCGAGCAACAGAAAAAAACCTTCACTGACTTCGTTTTCTTTCTTTCTTTCTTTGAACGACGCACTAGCTGAAGGAGCACAATATACGTACCTTAAAAATGTTTTGGACAAACAACAAAAAGGAAGAGAAGAGGATTGCAAAGAGGCTGTACGCGAAAAGCCAAACAACACCCACGTGAGTACTCGCCCACTGCTCTTAAACGATGCAGGGCAGCAGACCAGTGAATCGAGTATGTCGCGATGCGCAAGCTGAAACGACCTCTTTCGGGATGCTTTTTGTGGTTGTTGCTGCAGCGCTCAGGGACAGATGCGGAAAGACGGACTCGTACCGTACAAGCTCACACCACTCGCTTCAATACCTTCTCTCCTAGAAAAAAAAACTTTAAAATAACTTTCAATTGATGAACAAAGAAGGAACGCAATGGGTATCGTGCAAACGGCGAAAGAAAGAAAAAAAGATTAGGTATGAAGACGCATGGGAGAGAGGTAGAAACGTATTGAAAACAGTTGAGAACACATCGAAAGTGCATTCAGCCAGCTATAAAACACTTCCCTTTGACAAACATGAACCAGTAAAGGTCGACATAAGAAGTGAACTACTCGACACCACTACCGCTTTAAGGTGCCAGCAGAGCTGGAATCCGCTGCTTCCACCTCGACTGAGAAACTGGTACGCAACCCTCTCGTCATAATCACGAGGCATAACCACGGTTTACCGATGACACCTCCGTTTCCTCGCTGAATCATACAAACGCACTTGCGCATTCTCTTTTTTCTTTCTTCTTTTTTTCTTCTTCTTCTTACAAACAACGTCAATGAAACGCACTCAAACCACTCGTTCGAGAGTGAATTCGGATGCAAAGAAAAAAGACTGTATAAAACAAAATAATAATAATAACAACTGGTATGGAGTTGAAACGCTGTAAAGGCGTTGTACAATGACACTATTCGGGAAACCCAAAAAAGAAAGAAAGAAAGAGGGGACACGAGACACGGCACTCCGCCATCACGACACTAACAGGCATGGCGCTAGCCACACAATAAAAGCAGCGGGTACGGAGGTGTCCCTCCCCACGTGCAAGTTCCCCAAGCGTACCGGCTCGCTTGTGCTGCTTGCAAACAAGTCCGTGCATCAAACGAGCAGTTGATCTCGTACGCGCCCTTTTTCCCGAAGGCCACCGAGGGGGTCTTTACGGCCGGGACCACTGCAGCTCCGCAGTCATGTCCTCGTACGCCTCCAGCGGCAGCGGGTACGTCAGCAGCAGATCATTCTCCGATGCGCCGTCGATCCAGTGCACCGCCTTCGCCGCGGCGTCCTCGCGGGCCAGCACGAGCACAACGTCACGGTCATCCGGTCCCACACGCACCGCACGGAAGTCCTCCAACGCAAGCGTCTGCCCGGGCATCGACAGTGCAGCACGCAGCGCAGCGGTGCTCGTCACAGGCGCGTGCGGCGTGCGGGCATCCATCACAAACCCACGCACGCGCAGCCCCGCAGCGCCACCGTCCCCGGCACCGCACGTCGACGGCAGCACCACGCCGGCTCCGTCGCTCGCCTGCAGCACGCGCCTCGCCACGTCCGCAACGCCCTCTCCACGGGCGGAGGACGCCACCTTCACCGCTGAGCCGTACGCGCACTTCAGCACCGGCGTCGCGCTGATCACACGGTTCCTCAGCCGCGTGCGGGCCTCGCGCAGCGTCTCGTCGGCCTCGCCATCTCCGTAGCGCTGCACAGCAACGTGCACGCGACCGCGGTGGTGGCCGGCGAAGGCGAGCGACAGACTGCGCACCAGCGGGCACACGCCCTCCTCGTACGACACAACACCCACCACCGGCAGCGCCATCAGCGCATCAAACAGCGGTGGCAGCACCGCATCCGCCACCACGTTGGCCGCCGCTGCCGCCGCCGCCGTTGCGTCCTTCTCCCCGTCCCCGTCAGCGGCGGCTGCCTCCGGGTCTGCCGCAGTCGTGGCGGGTGCCTGCTCCAAATACACCGGGGTGGGGAACTTATCGTGCAAGTAGGCGCGAAGGTGATCCGCCTCCGCTACCGTTTTGAAGCCGGCGTTGATGTTGAAGTACAGCGGGTTTGCGCGGGCAATGAGGTCTACGACGCGCTGATTTTCGGCTATGTCATCAGAGAACTTCCCGAAGACACAGCCATTCGATGCCTGTCCCGCCAACAAAGTCGCGGGTGCACACCCGTCAACGTTGTCCAACGAAATGGACAGCGACGGCGGCGCCTCGGTGGGTGTGCGGCCTCGACTGCGGTGCAGCTGCATCAGGTAGGGCAGGAACTGAGGGGACGCCTGCCACGGCCGCGCCATGATGAAGGCGTTGTAGAGGAACGGCAGAAACAAGTCTGCCGCCACGCGGGCGCGGTGGTGCAGTGCGGCTGACGCGAACTCGCGCTCGTAGCGCGTCGATAAGAAGCGGAACATGTTCGTGCAGTACACAAAGGGGGCATGGGTGGCGTAGCGGCGAGGACGTCGCGGCTCCAGAGGCGTGGAGTGCATCGGCTCAGCGGGGAACAGGCGCGCAACATCGACGGCTTCGTCCGTGTTCGAACCTTTCAGCACCGGAAGAGAGCTGTGGGCGGTGTCCGTGAAGGTGGAATTCTCCAGCCGGCCCAGCGTCGTCCACATCTCCACCAACTTCGCTGGAAGATCATCTTCGTGATGCACGTCCAGCTCTTGAATATTAAACTGCTGTGCATGACGCACACCTCGTGCCCAGGAAATGCCCTTGTCAGCCACTTCACCCTCATGAAGGAAACCTTCCTCCGTCCGCACAATGGTGCCGCCGTACTCGTTGAACAGGTCCGTGATGGCCACGTCGCGGTTCACGAAGTAGTCGTCGTTCATGTACACGTGCACGGCGGTCGTGTTCCGCACACGCCAGATGTGCTGCTCAATCACGTGCGAGTCAGCCGTCAGCCGCATCCCGTACGGCATCAGCGCGTCCTGGTGCACCGTCGTCAGCCGCAGATGCGTGCCACGCGAGCGCAGCGCCTGCACAGCCGCGCCACCGCACACACCGGCAAGGAAGTTCCTCGCGCCGTCCACCCACGTCGGGTGGTGCCCGGGCGACACAATCACCACACGCCCGCGGTGCCACTGGACGTGCTGCTCCAGACTGCGAATGCTGTGCCGCAGCTCGTCGGTCTCGCGATCGCGGCCGTCGGCGCCGTGGAGGGACTGCAGCTGAACGCTGCGCAGCAGCTCTCCAAGTGTTTTGACGGAGTCGTGGCCGCCGTGCAGAAAAGACGGCGTGCACGTGAAGGAGGCGAATCCGTCTGTTGCTGCCTCAGCACCAAGATCTGCGAACACGGCGTCCTCCTTCGCCAGAATTGCCCACAAGCACGCTTTCCGGACCTCTTTGCGGTAGTTGTGGTTCGCCTCCGTCCCATGCACGAAGCTGTAAATGAAGTCGGTGTTCTCATAGGAACGCAGCAGCTCGTCTGCGGTGTAGGTGCGTCGGTTGATTCTAAGCCCAGGCAGGCGCTGCGGCTCCTCCGGTGCGTACTCGCCGTCTTCCTTCTGAAACTCTGGCTTTCGGCGGCGCAGATACGGACTGATGGTGCGCAGATCTGCGGAACTGGCGGGCGTGGGAGCTGACATGCCATCTCCAGCCGCAGGCGGCACTGCTGTCTCGCGTTGCCCAGTGAGAGTGTGCAGCTCCTGTGCAGCGCCCCCTGGAGTTCGATCCCCGTTCTCTTCCCCCTGCCCATTTCCGTTCTCCTCCGGTGTGGGTGCAACGGACTGGACCGCCTCCGTCGCCGGGGGTGCCGGCGCCTTCACGGTGGTGGTGGTGCTGGGCGGGGTAGTGGCTTGCACCGCCGCAGCCGTCTCGGTATCAGCGGGCAGGCCAACCTTCGCTTCCTCCTTCCCTGTGTGGGATTGCGTGGCCAGCGCCGCCGTCGTGGGTGGCATAGACGTAGATGCTGAGCTGCATGTCTCGCCCCGCTGCCGGCGACGCTCGGCGTCGAGGTGCAGCTGCTCCACCACCTCATCCACCCTCACCGGGGACGGCCGCGGCCGCCGTCGTGCGCTGAGGGACGTCGCGTCGGATCGGCAGAAAAGAAGGTAGAGGAGCGCCACCGCCATCGCCACAAACCCCGCCGAGACGACGAAGGACACGATCTTGGAGGGGCGACGCTTTCTGTGGCGAGGACTGCCGCCGAGTCCGCCACCGGGAAGAGAGAAGGAAGAAGAGTCCTGCCGCCCGCTGAGCTTGCGCATACCGCCCGGCAGCATCGTTACACGACAACGGTAAGGCTCAAAAAAGGGAAATGGAAAAGAGTTTGACGACAGTAGTAGTTGCTGAGAGGATACGAGAAGCACAAAGAATGCCTTCGCTTGTTGTGGCGATGGTTTTTTAGCTCGGCCGTCCCTTCTCACCTGCAATCCAACCGGTGCGAGGTAGATGTGCAGTAGGGAAACACCACAACAACAAAGAGGAGAACAGGAAAAAAATAGTGCTTGTTAAGATCGATCAGAAACCGGTAAGTAAGCCGCGCAGTCGTCTAGATGATGGAACAGCAAAGCAGATAGTGTGGCTGCCCTTTTCTGTTCGTTAAATGAATTCACAAGGAAGCGAAGGAAACAAAAAAAAAGTGCCGCACCGTGCAGAAGCTAAATAAAAGTGTCCCTTACGTTTTCACTTGCGGAGACGCGACGAGGCGCACGTTTGGACTGGTATGAGTAAGAATGAAAAAAAAAGAACCTACACACAAAATATGCATATATGCTCGGTACATAAGCACGCAGAATGAAATTAGTCTACACAGGTTAAACGGCAAATGCGAACTCTGCCAATCTTTTCGCCCTGTCGTGCATATGATGACGTTCAATGATGATCAATGAGTTTAAAAACAAATTAAAAAATGGTCAGGTAAACCAAAAAAAAAGAAGCAGGTGTGAGTAGCGGAGGTGAGCTTTACTGCCCTTTTTGACGCCAGTAGATGAGGACAGCGAAATGGATGGGAAAATAAAAAGGAATTTGCGGCTCCACAAAGCAGTCAGTATTGAAATCAACCTCGGCACTTGTTTTTACGTAGCTCAAGCTTTGCACAAGTCAAGTTGAATGGTAACGCCGAAACCTTACATGCGGAAGCACTCTTTGTAAAACAGAAAACAAATGTTTACCCGAAAAAGGTAAAGCCTTGGGCATAATAGAAACGAAATAATAGCTGACTCCGTCAATGAAACAGAACAGTTAACCAAGGTTGAAAAAAAAAAGCGGCGCGTCACGCACGCTATCCGGCGCCGCATACGATGCACACGAAGAGGGACGTAGAGAAAAGTAGTGCAGACACCGCGTCGGTCCTCTCTCTTTTCGCAGTTCACGTCAATGTCACCTAAACTGGAGAGAGAGAGGGGGAGGAGAAGGATCTGTTCTATGTGCTGGTGGCGCCTGCTTCGCTGGCTCCTTCCAAACTCTAACATATCCGTCGCAATTACATTGTTCATTTCCAGTGGCAAGACTTGCTACCACCAGGGACGCAATCAGAGGCGACCTGGTGTGCAAGAACAGAATTAAAGACTCATGTAATCAGTAGAAAAGAAAGAAAAGAGGAGGGCACAAGCGCAACGCTTATATTAGTTTAGAACAAGCGCTGTACCTCTAGAAAAATAGGAAGAAAACAAATAGAAGGAAAGTAGAAGGATGTCGCCGTCTTTAATTAGAAGATTTAAGGTGATCATTCTGATTTATAAGGGGAAAAGAATAACACGGATCGTTAAACGATGAAGAGGCATGGCCACGCGACGAACGGAGGGATAAGTATACAACAAGGAGCCCTCCTAACCGTCGGTGCGACCTCTAGTGGGGAATAATTTGCAGCCCTCGATCCATTCAAATTAACAAAATAACAAGTTTCCATGCAGGGTGGGTGGGTGGCAGAAAAAAGAGGGAATGCCAAGGAGAACCAATGTGGTTAGATGTTGTGTAAACCGTGAGCAACGAGAAGGGAAAGAGAAGGAAGGGGAGGATGGATGCCATTACCAGGGAACATAGTTGAGACCCAATTGGCCCCGGAGGGGAACTCACTCGGCACGCCACAATCACTTCAGATCAGGCTTTGAGTCGTGTGTGTGTGTGTGTGTGTGTGTGTTCTTGGCGGCGGTCACACGATTCAAAAGAAAAGTAACATTGTACTGCAACGTGAAAAGAAAAGGTGATCAAAGCAGAAAAAAGCGGGGTGATATATCAAAACGCTACCGTGAAAGTTGGAGGACAGGAGCAACAGCACGACGATGTCTTGCTGACGCGCCGTCACAGATCAGCTGCATCTCTGCACCACAGCGCCGATACGGGATTCTATGCCTCCCATCGCCATCCATGCACGACCCTGGAGAGACTTCTCTGTCGAAAGCACAAGAGTTATCTCATCACAACGCATTTGTCACCGCAAATACCCTCATGTAGGAATTCCGTGCCATACAGCTACCACAGCTAGCTCATTGCCTTCGTGTAAAGCTTGGGTATTTCATCTACGACAACAGAACAGTTAGAAAACTTCTCAGGATCACTATCCAAGAGACACTTTTCGATCGCATACATTCAGTAATAAAAAACTGTAGTTCGTCCTTCGCTTGCACGGCTCCATCTACGGTACTGCCCAAGCCAGCGGTGTAGTCATGTCCTCGTACGCCTCCAGCGGCAGCGGGTACGTCAGCAGCAGATCATTCTCCGATGCGCCGTCGATCCAGTGCACCGCCTTCGCCGCGGCGTCCTCGCGGGCCAGCACGAGCACAACGTCACGGTCATCCGGTCCCACACGCATCGCACGGAAGTCCTCCAACGCAAGCGTCTGCCCGGGCATCGACAGCGCAGCACGCAGCGCAGCGGTGCTCGTCACAGGCGCGTGCGGCGTGCGGGCATCCATCACAAACCCACGCACGCGCAGCCCCGCAGCGCCACCGTCCCCGGCACCGCACGTCGACGGCAGCACCACGCCGGCTCCGTCGCTCGCCTGCAGCACGCGCCTCGCCACGTCCGCAACGCCCTCTCCACGGGCGGAGGACGCCACCTTCACCGCTGAGCCGTACGCGCACTTCAGCACCGGCGTCGCGCTGATCACACGGTTCCTCAGCCGCGTGCGGGCCTCGCGCAGCGTCTCGTCGGCCTCGCCATCTCCGTAGCGCTGCACAGCAACGTGCACGCGACCGCGGTGGTGGCCGGCGAAGGCGAGCGACAGACTGCGCACCAGCGGGCACACGCCCTCCTCGTACGACACAACACCCACCACCGGCAGCGCCATCAGCGCATCAAACAGCGGTGGCAGCACCGCATCCGCCACCACGTTGGCCGCCGCTGCCGCCGCCGCCGTTGCGTCCTTCTCCCCGTCCCCGTCAGCGGCGGCTGCCTCCGGGTCTGCCGCAGTCGTGGCGGGTGCCTGCTCCAAATACACCGGGGTGGGGAACTTATCGTGCAAGTAGGCGCGAAGGTGATCCGCCTCCGCTACCGTTTTGAAGCCGGCGTTGATGTTGAAGTACAGCGGGTTTGCGCGGGCAATGAGGTCTACGACGCGCTGATTTTCGGCTATGTCATCAGAGAACTTCCCGAAGACACAGCCATTCGATGCCTGTCCCGCCAACAAAGTCGCGGGTGCACACCCGTCAACGTTGTCCAACGAAATGGACAGCGACGGCGGCGCCTCGGTGGGTGTGCGGCCTCGACTGCGGTGCAGCTGCATCAGGTAGGGCAGGAACTGAGGGGACGCCTGCCACGGCCGCGCCATGATGAAGGCGTTGTAGAGGAACGGCAGAAACAAGTCTGCCGCCACGCGGGCGCGGTGGTGCAGTGCGGCTGACGCGAACTCGCGCTCGTAGCGCGTCGATAAGAAGCGGAACATGTTCGTGCAGTACACAAAGGGGGCATGGGTGGCGTAGCGGCGAGGACGTCGCGGCTCCAGAGGCGTGGAGTGCATCGGCTCAGCGGGGAACAGGCGCGCAACATCGACGGCTTCGTCCGTGTTCGAACCTTTCAGCACCGGAAGAGAGCTGTGGGCGGTGTCCGTGAAGGTGGAATTCTCCAGCCGGCCCAGCGTCGTCCACATCTCCACCAACTTCGCTGGAAGATCATCTTCGTGATGCACGTCCAGCTCTTGAATATTAAACTGCTGTGCATGACGCACACCTCGTGCCCAGGAAATGCCCTTGTCAGCCACTTCACCCTCATGAAGGAAACCTTCCTCCGTCCGCACAATGGTGCCGCCGTACTCGTTGAACAGGTCCGTGATGGCCACGTCGCGGTTCACGAAGTAGTCGTCGTTCATGTACACGTGCACGGCGGTCGTGTTCCGCACACGCCAGATGTGCTGCTCAATCACGTGCGAGTCAGCCGTCAGCCGCATCCCGTACGGCATCAGCGCGTCCTGGTGCACCGTCGTCAGCCGCAGATGCGTGCCACGCGAGCGCAGCGCCTGCACGGACGCGCCACCGCACACACCGGCAAGGAAGTTCCTCGCGCCGTCCACCCACGTCGGGTGGTGCCCGGGCGACACAATCACCACACGCCCGCGGTGCCACTGGACGTGCTGCTCCAGACTGCGAATGCTGTGCCGCAGCTCGTCGGTCTCGCGGTCGCGGTTGTCGGCGCCGTTGCGTGCGTCGCCCTCCACGCTTTCTAAGAAGCTCCCCACCGTTTTCAGACCGTCGACGCCGTCCGACATAAATTTCGGCACACAGCTCAGCGCCGCAAAGGGGTTCACCGCAGCCGTGTTTGTCGGCTGCCCTTGATTGCTGCGGTTCTCTCGTCGGGTGTCGCCATGCGGATCGTTCGTGGTTGTGGTCGCTGCGGAGTCTACCAGCATGGGGTAGCCGGAGACGTACGTTTCGTTCTCGGCCCTCAAGACATCGGCTATGCACGCTACCCGCACCTCCTTGCGATAGTGATGGTTTGCCTCCGTCCCGTTGACGAAGCTGTAGATGTAATCCACGTTGCTGAACTTCTCCAACAGCTCGGCAGCGGTGTAGGTGCGGCGGCTGATGGAAAGCCCAGGCAGGCGGTCCGGTTCCTCGAGCCGATACTCCCCTTCCCGCCCCGTGCGTTGGAAGACTCGGGGGTCTGGCGTCGGCGGTGCGGGGAGCTTTGTGGTGGTGGTCGTGGTCGGCGTGACCACCACAGCAGCGTCTGTTGGGGAAAGCTGGCGTTTGGTGTTCTCGCCAGCGTCAGCCACTACAGGCAGGGTTAGAGTAGGCGGCGGGGGCGCGCTACTCCACTGCTGTTGCTGTCGCCGTAACGCCTCCTTCCGCACCTCCTCTGCAACTTGTCCTTCTTCGGCGGTGAGGGCACTGCGGCCGGTGTCCCGCACGCGCTGTGAGGCCTCCATGGGAGAAGTGCTGCGGAGAATCGCCAGCCCGAAGATGATAAAGAAAGCGCCAGCAACGATGCAGAGAGTGAGCAGCGACAGGCGCGGCCGCCGGTTGCGCCGCAGAGGCGCACGGGGGGCGCCCCCCATGGGCAGCGGCAGCTCCGTGGGCTGGTGCCGTAAACTTATTTTACGCATGGCCGATTGTTGTCGGTGCGGGTCAGCTATGTACCTTTCAGGCGTAAATATATATGTATATATATCAAGACGAAAAAATAGCTATTCCGTTAGTTACGGTTACTGCGCTAGTAAAAATCGAACTGCGAAGATGCGTCTGCAGTGATGACAGCGAAAGAAAAAAAAAGTGAACGTTAAATAAGAATTTTGAAGAAAGCAGCCTCACAGATAGAAGCGTCACGGCGTAAGGTTGTGCTATACGGCAAAGAGGTTCCACCTTTCCGTGTCACCAGTTGTGACGGCAACAGCTTTTTTCGAACTACAAAGGACGAGTAGTTTTGGCAGCGTGCGGAGATGCGAAAATAGGCTTCTTTGTTGGCCGAAAGAAAAGAAAAGAGGGTTTCGCGTTTGCTGTGAGCTGCACCAGATCGGCAGTGTCAAAAGAACAGAAGGTGGCTGGTTGCGGCGAAAGAGAGGAAAATACACTTTGTTTTAAAAAGAGGAAAAAAAAAGAGTAAATTCAATGATACTAGATGCTCCGACTTGACAGCGAAGTATGACAATGATAGGGTTGATGTAGGGAGGGTACTCGTCAGGTACGACTCGGAGGGGTGGAAAGAGGAACGAGCGCGGGTATGCTTTCTCAAAATAAAAAAATAAAACGTATGGGCCTGGGCAGAACCACCAAGTTGCTTTCTTTGTTCTCCAGCTTTATCTGCCATTTATTTCGTACCCGTTCAAACCACAATTCAGGCGTGAATGCACACACGCACGCACGCACGCAATGACACGAAAGTGATGAGCAAATTGGCATTTGTTAAACCACAAAAACGGTATCACAATCAAAAAGAAGAATGAAGAGGAGGGCAAGAATCGTAGAGAATAAAGGGGATGTATGTTGTCCCGTGTATATGCAAAGAATCGGTCCAACTCCTCTGTGAACACGGCTTCGTGTGTTTGCATGCACCGCGTGAATGGCGAATGCACCGGCGTTTCCTTGACCGGTTTCCACTGTTCCCTGTCTGTCCGGCGTTAAGGGTCCTGTTTCAGAGGAGGAGCGAAAACACAGAATTCCGCCTCGTACGACTCCCTCCTCCAAATCTGGCATCGGTGAGCTCACGTAAAGGTGACGCATGCACTCGTATTGTCACGTGCAGCACAGATACTTCCCTGTCCACAAGAAAAATTTCGATTTCTTTCCTACGTAAGAACAAAAAGGCGCACGCGGCTGCCCAGCTATCGCACTGTTTGCCGAGCAAGTCCAGTCTCGACGAGAGCACACACCCCGCACACCGCAGAAAAACAAACCACGATCAAATCAGATGTATGTAACTGGCCGGTGTGGAAGCCGCAAGGAGTCGATCCAGTTGAATCCAGGTGCCATTGCCAGCAAATGAAAACGAGAGTTTTGAAAGAGAAATTATTGACTTTACGGCTGCGACCACTGCAGCTGAGCGCCTAGATTCTCGTACTGCTCTACGGGCAAGGGATAAGTGACGAGCAGATCATTCTCCGATGCGCCGTCGATCCAGTGCACCGCCTTCGCCGCGGCGTCCTCGCGGGCCAGCACGAGCACAACGTCACGGTCATCCGGTCCCACACGCACCGCACGGAAGTCCTCCAACGCAAGCGTCTGCCCGGGCATCGACAGTGCAGCACGCAGCGCAGCGGTGCTCGTCACAGGCGCGTGCGGCGTGCGGGCATCCATCACAAACCCACGCACGCGCAGCCCCGCAGCGCCACCGTCCCCGGCACCGCACGTCGACGGCAGCACCACGCCGGCTCCGTCGCTCGCCTGCAGCACGCGCCTCGCCACGTCCGCAACGCCCTCTCCACGGGCGGAGGACGCCACCTTCACCGCTGAGCCGTACGCGCACTTCAGCACCGGCGTCGCGCTGATCACACGGTTCCTCAGCCGCGTGCGGGCCTCGCGCAGCGTCTCGTCGGCCTCGCCATCTCCGTAGCGCTGCACAGCAACGTGCACGCGACCGCGGTGGTGGCCGGCGAAGGCGAGCGACAGACTGCGCACCAGCGGGCACACGCCCTCCTCGTACGACACAACACCCACCACCGGCAGCGCCATCAGCGCATCAAACAGCGGTGGCAGCACCGCATCCGCCACCACGTTGGCCGCCGCTGCCGCCGCCGCCGTTGCGTCCTTCTCCCCGTCCCCGTCAGCGGCGGCTGCCTCCGGGTCTGCCGCAGTCGTGGCGGGTGCCTGCTCCAAATACACCGGGGTGGGGAACTTATCGTGCAGAAACTTCCGCAGCTGATTGGACGCCTCCTCCGAGTTGAAGCCGGCGTTGATGTTGAAGTACAGCGGGTCCTCCACACGAATGCGTTCCGTCAACTGCACATTCAACGTCAGGTTGTCTTGGAATTTGCCATACAGGCACTGCGAAGCCAGGCGTCCGCCACGCAGCGTTGACTGCCCACAGCTGTCAAAGTTGTCCAACGCAATTTCCACCGACGGCGGCGCCTCGGTGGGTGTGCGGCCTCGACTGCGGTGCAGCTGCATCAGGTAGGGCAGGAATTTCGGCGAGGCGACCCACGGCCGCGCCATGACGAAGGCGTTGTACACAAACGGCACGTACAAGTCTCGTGCTTGGCGAGTACGGTGCAGGTAGGCGTTGTGCGCAAACTCACGCGCGTAGCGCGTCTGCATGAAGCGGAACATGTTCGTGCAGTACACAAAGGGGGCGTGGGTGGCGTAGCGGCGGTAGCGGCGCGGAGGCACTGAGCGTGGCCAATTCTCCGCCGCCGTGTAGCCGTGCGCCACATCGACGATGTCGTTTAAAGCGACGGGTAGAAGCGGCACCGACAAGTCTACGTGATTCTCCGCTCGCTCGGCAGTCCACCTGCTCAGCAGATCCTCGGGAAGGTAATCGTCGTGGCGCAGGTCCAGCTCCATAATGTTGAAGAGCTGTGTGTGACGCACGCCCTCGCCCCATGTGCCGCCCTGTTCGGGACCGAGTTGGCCATTACGCAGGATGCCTTTCTCTACCCGCACAATGGTGCCGCCGTACTGGTTGAACAGGTCCGTGATGGCCACGTCGCGGTTCACGAAGTAGTCGTCGTTCATGTACACGTGCACGGCGGTCGTGTTCCGCACACGCCAGATGTGCTGCTCAATCACGTGCGAGTCGACCGTCAGCCGCATCCCGTACGGCATCACCGCGTCCTGGTGCACCGTCGTACGCGAGCGCAGCGCCTGCACGGACGCGCACCGCACACACCGGCAAGGAAGTTCCTCGCGCCGTCCACCCACGTCCGGGTGGTGCCCGGGCGACACAATCACCACACGCCCGCGGTGCCACTGGACGTGCTGCTCCAGACTGCGAATGCTGTGCCGCAGCTCGTCGGTCTCGCGGTCACCAATGCCGGGGCGGATGTGGTTGGGCAAGATCTTAAAGAGGTCCGCTATTGTCGCCGTCTCCGTCATCTTTTTCAAATACGACGCGTGGCAGGCCGGTGCGGTACTCTTGTGCTGCAGCTGCACCCCCGACGAGAGTTCTCCGCCGTGGGCGTACACAGCGTTCTCCAGTTCTCTGAACTGTCCGATGCAGTCCCCCAGCGTGCGTTTGCGGAAGTGATGGTTCATCTCGCTGCCGTTCACAAAGCTGTAGATGTAGTCGGTGTTGCCGTAGAGCTGTAAGAGCTCCTGTGGGGTGTAGGTGCGCCGGTTAATGGTAAGCCCAGGCAAGCGAGCCGGCTCCTCCGGCGCGTACTCGCCACTTTCGAACTGGCTCATCACATCGTCAAACACCGGCTCGGGACGTGCGGTGCGGGTGTCCTGTCGGTCAAACACATTTACGTACCGGTGCGGGGACACGGGAGTAGGAATTTGCGTCCTTGTCGTCGCTGGGGGTTCCACGGACGTGCCGGTGGCTGGTTGAGGAGTCAAGGCCACGGTGGGAACTGGAGAACCCTTTTCCGCCTCCGCCTTGTCGACCCTGAGCGCCCCCATAGAGTTGGAGAAGGAAGTTAAGACGTACACGGTGACCACCGCCACCACGAAGAGTGTCCCACAGGCGACGGAGAGGAGGGTGGATTTTGGCTTGCCGAGGCGCCTGCGAGACGCGGTCGGAGGTAGATGCGGCGGCAGCGTGTCGGGCAGCCGCACGTGGACGCTCTCCGGGACCTCCCTGTTCCCGCGGATACGGCTGTAAGGCAGCATTACGGAGTCCGTGCTATCCAATCGTTTCTTTCCTTTTCGCTGTGTTCTCCTTCCACAACGACGGTCGCTGGAGAGTGTAGAAGAGCGTTGGTTTACCCCGCTGACCTGCAATTCTCTCTACCAAACGTGAAGCAAGGTTGTTGTTTTTTCGCTGGTTGTGTTCGCCGAAACAGGGTGATACCTATTCGTGTTGATATGCTTCTCAGCTACGACAGCAAGAAGACAAGAAAATAAATAAGGAAATCGAAAACGTCGCTTTTTCTTTTTTGAGGGACTTTTAGCTACCTTTTACGTGTATTGTGGCGTCCGTTCTTTCTAAGCGTCAATCCCCCGCGTCGTTCGCTTTCTGATTTATTTATATATTTCTTTATTGTGATGAGGATTCTTTGCACGGTTTCTTCGTTCTGCAGTTGTCGCCGATCTACACACGGCACCGCACCTTCGCCAGCACGCAATCGAGACGTTGACGAATTACTCCAGTTGTGACCTCAACGGCGGACGTGGCGGCTGAAACGCACAGACCACTTGCGACAACCGCGTGCAAGGGGACAACAAGCAAAAAGAAGGAAGAGAGAAGAGAGAAGAAGCTAGACACAGGAAGATATATATATATATATACGCTGATTCGTGGGAAAGGAACAATGAAACAAGGAGCGGCGAAAGCGGCGATAACCCAATCCGTACGCCTGGAATTGAAAAGAAAAAATTCAATGATGTAGTCAATGAAGCGTGAAGCGCCAAATACGAGAACAATACGAAACCCAGAAAAAAAGACAGACGAACAGCGTTAACGGAACAGTCTCTAATGAAAAAGCCAAAGGTGCTTTCCGTGAAGTCTGTGAGACTTGCGGGTGGAGCAAAGGAAAAGGTGTGTTCTCGCGTTGTACCAAACACAGCAAAAGCGAATGAAAAGAGTGGAAGCGACGGTGAACGGTGATGTTCAGCTGAATCGTATCAGATGGAGCAGTGCAGAAATATCGAAACCAGACAAACAGACGGGTGCGTCAAATGGACGCTGACCGCGTCAGTTTAAAAGCTCAATTCCACAACAGAGAAAACGAGAGAGAAATGAGTTGGGAACGGGAGGTCTAGATTCGTTTCAAACGCCTATATATATATATATATCACACGTGAATAGAGCGACGGGTGAGAAGGCAAAAATACTTCCTGTGTGAGTAAACAGCTCGGTATTTCCGCGAACTTGAGTGGCAGTTCTTTAAACTCTGAGTGACCGTTTCAGCAGACCCAACGAGGGAGAAACGTCAGCAAGGGGGGGGGGGAGGCAGACAAGAGAAGCGGAAGGGAATAAGTGGGTTAGAGAGAGAGAGATACGGCCAGGTGGTACCCGAGCTGCTGACGCAACTTGTTTAGGATACAACGACGTGAGATGGGAAATTTATTGTAAAAAATCACGTAGATCCAGCGTGTGATTCTTTTGTTGACTATTGGCCCGTCTCACTACAGACGCGGAAAGAATCTGTTCCCCTGCGGTTTCTTTCCATCCGCTATTGCAGCATCAACTTGTCTGCAGGAAAGGGAAAAACAAAAACACGCGCTGCTTCACAACGTGGAAGGCGAAGACGCTTTGCACTGTCTGTGCTGCCGCAAAAAGTGTCTTGTTTGGTTTGCATTTTTCGTTGGCGTTGTTGTTTTTCTTTTTCTTTTCTTTTTGCCCTGCGCTTGGCAGTAGGTATGCTCGTCAGCACATCACGGAGAAAACAATGTTGATGCCAAACAGAGAAGTTCTTCGCTAAGAAACCCACCATATTTGGCATTCTCCGAGATGAAATCGCGTAAGAAGGAAAGTGTAGTCCGCGCGGGGGAAAAAGAAGAAGAGCAAAAACACAGTTCTGCAACTCATCTCAACAGTTTAGCAAACGGCTCAACCCAGCACGACGACACACACAGAAGAAAAAAAAAGAAGGAGACAGCAAGCCACCTTGATTTCTCTTCGTTTGTTTGTTTTGCTGACGAAATAAGCACACAACCATTTGCACGCCGTAGGCGGAGCTGCGACCATCCGCGGCATCCGTAGCGGCACAACAACACGAAGGGAAAGCAGCACACATATACATATACGCTGAAATGCGTTCAACACATTGAAGATCAGAAAAAAAAAGAGATTTATTTGTACACAGGAGCATCACCACAAGGAGAAGAAGAAAAACAAAGCACTCCGTAAAACACAATACATACACTCTTGTCAGAAATGCATGAGTGCCCACCAGAAACAAGAATAGTAGTAAAAATAATAGTCGGAAAGAAGAACTGATGTAAAGAGAACAGTTGATCCTCCTATTTTGTTTTGTTTTTGTTTTCTTCTTAGAATGCATTTCACATATTTTTGTCGCCATCATATAAGCACAGAGAAAAGATACGCAGCGGGTGTTCTTTATTATTATTATTGATTTACTTGGCAAAAGGAGGGAGGAAAAAGGAGCTGTGTTGTGCTCGGCCACTTGCATGACGCCATCCATGTCTGGAGACCTCGTCCACGCAATGTGGTTCTCTCACCACTCCCTCACGTGGTCTAAAGCAAATGAACCGCGTCCATCGTCTGCAAGAGAGAGGTGATCAAGACGTCCAACGCTCCTGCCGTTGGGATCGGCACACTTTCTAAATAAGGGTGGTGCACCGCCTCCGCCGCGGTGATGCGGTGCTTCGGCTCGTACATGAGACAACGACGAAGCAAGTCCACCCCCGCCCCCGACGCGCTCGCGGCGAACGGCGTGGCGGCCATGTACTCGTTAAACAGCGGGCGGTCAAACCACAGTTCTACGGGGAGGTGGTACGAGTTGGCGGCACTGCGCGCGCTCTCCTCCCGCCGCTGCATCGCACTCGCGCTGTGGTAAAAACGCTTGTGCGCCAGCTGCGTAAGAACATCGGGGGCGCGGCTGCTGCTGCTGTGCGACTGCGACGACCCCTGCGCCTGCTGCTGCTGCTGCTGAACGTAGACATCACCGCCTACCGCCAAGTCGGGCCGCTCCGCTGCTGCGCGGCTTGCCCGCTCGAGCCGCTCCGTTGTCCCGGTGTAGGACAACAATGACGGCCACGTCTCTTTCGTCGGCGAGCCGAGGAGCCAGAACATGCGCAGCAGCTGCTCGTCCTCGTTGCGTCCGCTAAACAACACCTTCCCGGTCGACATCTCAAAAAAGATGGCCCCCATCGACCAAATATCCACGGGGTAGGAGTAGAGGGAAGAGCTCATGAGCACGTCCGGGCTGCGGTACCACAGGGTGACCACCTCCTGCGAGTACTTCTTCACGGGAATCTCCTCCACGCGGGCCAGACCGAAGTCGCCGATTTTAATGATGAGCTGATTTGGTGCGTCGCGTGCGCTCGTCGCCTCCTCCCACGGTGACACGCTACCGGGTGGTTTGTTGCTCTTATCATTAACACAGTTCGGCACGAGCTGCCGCGGCGGTGGCGGCGGCGATGACGGGAGCGCCGTCAGAGCCGCAAAGTCAGGCCCGCGCACGTTCACAAATATGTTCTGCGGCTTCATGTCGCGGTGCACGACGCAGCGACCGTGCAGGTACTCCAACCCGAGAAAGATCTGCTTCAGAATGGGCCGCACCTCGGTATCTGCGTCGAGCAGGCGCTGAGGGCGGGACTCCATGTACCGCTTGAGATCGCAGTCGCACAGCTCGAAGATCATTGTAATTTTGGGAGGTTCGAAAAGCACTTCGAACAGCTCCACGACGTTGTTGTGGCGGAGCTCCTTCAAGAGACAGATTTCACGGATGGCCGCGCCGGGAATCCCCTCATCGTCGCTCGTCACCACCATGCGCTTGAAGGCCACCACCCGCCCCGTCTGGATCTCCGTCCCCTTGTACACGCTTCCATAGGTGCCCTCTCCCAGCTTCACCACGTGGCGGTACCGTCCTGCGGTAGACATGAGGAGCAATAGAGGCGGCGAATATTAATGTCCAACAAGCTAATACAAAGAAATATGAGGGCCGTCACACCACTCAATGGATGTCACCGGTGACTGGGAAAGAAGAGAAACTGTGTCGAGGGAGAAGTACGAAGTACGCCAAGAAGGCAGCAGGCACTTGAAGGCGCAATGGCAGGCGGTGTCAATCACCCGCGGACACTACCGCGACAGCAACTCAGCAGTACTCTTTGTGCAGCCGTCTTACGTGCTCGGCCAACTCGCGTGTTTGTCCGCCTGTGTCTGTGCGCTTGAATGGGTGTGGGGATTGATAGCAATAATGATAGATAAAAAGCTACCGTTCAAGAAGAGAAAACAATGAAGAAACCGAAGGGAGCGCGTGCAATATGATCTGACGGGTTGCAGGAAACCAAAAACAATAATAATAATAATAATAATAATAATAATAATAATAATAATAAAGAAAACGGGGGAACACTACTAATTACAAATAAACGGAAAACAGAAGAAAATAAAAAGAGGAGAGAGAGAGAGAGAAGTCACAAAGGAGGAGTTCCGCAGGGTACGACGTCGCCCCTTGCCGAGAACACAAGCAAAAAAAAGGAAACGTGTGTCTCGAGAGCTCCACTCACCACCACGAAGACAGAAAGAAAGAGTACCAAAGAAAAAACAAAAACAAAAGTAAGAAGAAAAGACTCTACTGAAGCCAACAGTTAATGACACAAGATTCGCTACGCTGGCGGGCTCGCTTCACACGATTACCGCAAAACGGGGAAAACACCCGGAAAGAGAGGTAAAATGAGATGAGTTCTCCACACCAACAAGCACGCACACACACACACACAAACAAGAAAAAAAAAAAAGAGAGAATCAAAAGTGCGGCACCAATGGACTCCACCTACGTGTTTGTCTTTCTTTTGGATTATTATTCAGAGGATTAAAAGAAAAAAAAATGATTAATAAATAAATGCTAAAGATCTTCCGACGTGTGGTTGGGATTTTTGGGGGTAGCAGTTCTACACATGAAAACTGTGGGCATGTAAGGGGATTGAACCAAGCCTTTCATAGTTTCCATTGATAGGGCAGAAAAGAAAGAGAAGAAGAGAGAGGAGAACGGAGGAGAACGGAGGAGATGCACGCACGAGAGAGCCGAACTTACCTGACACACCGCAAAAAGGGGGTGCTTTTGCTGTTGCTATTACGCAACACATTTCTTCTAGGAGCGCCAGTGTCCGTAGCATTTCGCCATACGCAACGAGAGAAAAAAAGAAACTTACTACGTGAATGGAGCTCTTCTCTTCTTTCTATTATTTACTTCAACTACAAGCACATACAAAAGTACGCTCATGAAGCAACGACGCCGTTCAATTACGTCTTATGTGCTCCGAGAAGAGCAGTGTGCGAGCCCCTTCCTTCCATTCGTTGATCCTTGGGTATCGAAGTCTCCCACCGATTCTATCGCACGGGGCTCGAGCGACCGAAGAACCCAAGATGCGTTGTTCTTTCTACACCGTATTTGTTGTTCTTGCGCTATTGACGATAGAGTAAATGCATAAACGAATGCTGTCAGGTCTATCAGAAACAGAAAAACAAAACGTAGAAACACGAATAACATAGAGGCAAAGACAGGAGAAAAGAAAATTTATGATACACACACACACACAGATTCGGCGGCACCTGACCTCCAGCCAGAAAAAAAAACACGCCACATCAACGCAAGCCTTCCTCACTGCGTACGTTTCTATTCGTTTAATGGTATCCGAAGACCCCCCGCAGAACGCGTGGTGCAGGTGAGCAGACACCGCAAAAATAAAAGAGAGACTTACATGATAATGCTGCTACCGCTGCGTGCCTCATAGGCGCGCAGCTTTGCGTTGAGCTGCCCAATCGCAGCGTCTTTTCGGCCTATGAGCGTGTGCGCATCCTGGAGCTTCTTGTTTGTGTCTGCGAGCTCCTCCTGCGCCCGCCGTACCTCCTCCTCATTGGCCGTCAGTCGCGAGCTGAGCAGCCGCACCGTCCCTTGTAATTCCTTATTCAGCTGATCCCGGTACTTGGCATCTTCGAGCAGCTTCGCCCGCGCCGCGTCCGCTTGCTCAAGGGCGACCTCTAAATCGGAGTGTTCCCCTTCAGCGTTGCGGTGGATGTGCGAGAGCTCGCGTTGGTAATGCGTGCACATTGCCTGCGACTTGGCCAGATCGCTGCGGAGTCCGTTCAGTAACTCATCCATGCGGCGCATTTCCATCCCTTGCGCCTCACGAAGATCCTCCATTTCCTCCTGCAAGCCGCTTTCACGCAAAGCGGCCTCGCGGCGCAGCTTGCCAACCTCCTCCCGCAGTTGCTGAAGAGCCGCCTCCTTCTCAACAAGTGCCTCCCGCGCACGTGTAACCTCGCCGCGCACCTGCTCGGACGCCATCCGCGCCGCGGCCACCTCGGCTTTGTGCCGCTGCGCCTGCTCCTCCAACTGTCCCTCCACCTGCTTCTGATGCCGCGCCTGCTCCTGCTGTAGCTCCATCATTTTTCGCTCGTTGTTGTGCAAGGCATTCTCGAGCTCGTCGCGGTAAAGGCTGGCGTCCTCGAGTTGCCGCTCCAGCTGCCGCTTTTCCTCGGCTGCGGACGCGCCGCGCTCCTGTGCGTGCGTAGCGACGGCGCGGAGGTCCTCCATCTCCACCTTGGCATCCTGCAACTTGCGGTGTGCGTCCTCCAGCGATCGGCGCTCCTCCTCAACCTGCTTCGCCGTCCCCTGCACGCGTCCCTCCGCCTCCTTCGCCTGCCGCTCCAGTCGCTCCACCGTCGCCTCGAGTTGCGCCTTGTTGCCACGCAGCTGTGAAATGGCCTGCGCCGCCTCCCGCTCCTTCTGCAGCGCTGCGTCTTTTGCCTTGGCCATTTCGTCCGCCGATTGGATCTCCTGCTTTGCAATTTTCTCCTTCGCGGCCTCCAGTGCACTCGTGCGGCGTGCCAACTCGTCGCGGAGCTGCTGTGCATCCGCCGCGAACTGTGCGAGCTGATCCTGCGCGTAGCTGAAGTCGGTGGCGCTCTTGCGCACCTTTGCGCGCAGCTCTTCCACAACAGCCTGATGCGCTTGCTCGGCCGCACGCTCCCTGCTGCGCTGCTCCGCCTTTGTCGTCTCTAACTCGTTCGACAGTCGCTGGTTCGCTTTGTCCAGGCTCTCCGCACGCACCCGCAGCACCTCCGCATCCGCCTCGCCGTCTTTCCGCGCCGCCCGCTCCTCGGCCAGCTGCTGCGTCAGTGCATCCACCTCCGCCTGCAGGGCGGCCACCTTCTCTCGATGCTGCCGCTGCAAGGCCTCGCGCTGCTGGAAGCTGTCGCCCACGCACGTCTCCTTCTCCTTACGGGCTTGCTCTAGTGCCTGCCGCAGACCTTCCACGGACTTCGCCTCCCGCTTCACCGTCTTCTCCACCTCCCGCCGCAGCTCCTCCTCCTGCTTGTCGCGGCTTTCCTTCGACCGCTGCAGCTCCTCGCGCAGTCCGTCCGTGTCGCGGCGGTAGGCCTGCTTGAGGGTGTCGAGAGCATGCTGGTGCTCCTCCTCCGCCACGCGCTGCCGCTCCTCGCTCTTCTGCAGTTGCTCCGCCAACTCCTGCTGCTTCTTTGCCTGCTGCGCTGTACTCCGCTGCTGCTGTTCTCGCTGTGCGTCCAACTGCTCCCGCAGCGCGTTGCACTCCTGCGCCATGTTTGCCTGGAGGTCGCGGATTCTACCGCTGGCCTCCGCACGCTCGCGGTCCAGCTGCGAGGACATCGCCTCCAGCTTCTCGTCGAGCGCCTCGCGCTCGTCTTCGGCGGCCTGGTGCTGCTGCGACACCGTGTCAAAGTCCTCCTTCAGCTTGTCCATCGCTGCGCGCAGGGAGGTGATCTCGCGCCCCTGCTCCGCGATGAGCGACTCCGTCTGCTCGCGGTAGTCGGCCATGATGTAGCTCTTCTCATCCCGCTCCCGATCCAGCAAGGCGAACAGTTCCTTCTTGCGTCGGCCGGCCTCTTCGGCCATTTTACTCTTCTCCGCCATGGCGCTCTCCGAGACCATCTTCAGCACGTGCAGCTGATCCCGCATCTGCCGCGTCACGGCCTCGTGCTCCGCACGCGTCGCGGCGGTCTCGTCCGCGTAGCGGTCACGCAAGGCACGGGTGTTCGCTCGCTCCCGGTCCAGCGCAGACTCCAGCGCTTCCAGCTTCATCCCACGCTTCATCGACTCCTCTCGCGTCTCCGCCAACTCGCGCTCCGCCGCGATCAGCATCGCGCGAATTTCGGCGTTGCGGTTGGGGCTGTAGCCGCCCTCACTCCCCGCCCCCACGGACTCCCGGTACGGAAAAGAAGGGGCTGCCATGTCGCCTGGTGACCCGCCATACTGCACCAATGCCCGCTGTGAAGGGCTGTAGCCGGAGTTGTTCATGCCTGCCACTGAGGTTGTCGGGACGGCGGTGAAGAGGCGAGAGTCGTTGATCGTCGAGTCCGCTGGCACTTTGCGCTGCCCGGCTGGGGCGAAGGTGTTGCTGTTTGTGCGGCGTGCCGCCGCGGCGTGCACCGCGTCCACCATCGGGCTTTCCCCCAGGCGAGACGGTGGCAAGGAAGTGGAGCTTGCCGAGGGCCGCTTGTCGATGCTCTCCTGCCGCCGTGCCTCCGGTGACGACTCCAAAAAGCTGACGGTGGTATTTTGCGGGTTGGCGCGCGTTGCGGTGCTGTTTGGTACGGCTTCTGCTGCAGTGTTGAGGGGCATGGACCCTGTGTGATCGAGAGTATCTCGTGTATTGGAGTGCCGACCGTCTTCCTGTGGCCGATAAGGGGAGCCCTGCGCCGACTGGACGAGCGCCTCGTTTGGTGGACTCTCTTGACGATAGGCCGGCAGGGGGGCGCCCTTATTCGAGTGCTGTCGCGCGGTGGGTCCCGAGGTCAGCGGTGGAGGCACCCCGTTTAACGAGCCAGCATCCACAACAGCGTCAGAGCCGACAGCATCGCCACCGCCGCGGAGTGAGGACGACGACTCGCGACGGCGCTGACCAAACAAAGACGCGCCGCTGCCCTCACGTCGTTGCGACGGTGTGACGTCGTCCCTCTCATCCTCCGAGACCGCCGCGGCCGCCGTGAGCGCGTTTGGGCTCGGCGTGGACGGTGCAGAGGAGGCGCTGGAGGCCACGGGGCGCTCCATACTGTGCCTCACCGCACCCGCTTTTGTCCGCTCTTCCGCCACCGCCTCCACCGTTTCCTCCTTGCGCACTGGCGACGGCGAGGGTGGCGCTAAGTTAGCTGCCGGGCCGCCACGCCGTTCCGACATGGTGGAGATGATTCTTTTGTTGGTGTAACGGTATGGCTGGGGTTTTAACAACGTAGAGACGCCTTCAACTACTAACTTTGGAGGGGAGATGAGAGAGCCTCAAATGATCGCTTATGCAGAGGGGGAAAGAGGGCTTCTTTTGTTTTGCCGAGAATTACAACGAAGTGTGATGGCTTAGCTTTCGGGGCTTATACGTGTCGCGCGGAGAACGAAAGTGGCGCCGAGACGGCCCGTGTGGGAGCTTATGTTTCTATGGTTTGTAGCGAGGTCTAATGTAAAACTTATGCTCCCAGTTTCCTGCTGTTTGGGATCTACAACAAGCTTCGTTAATCCAACCCTAAGGAAGAGAAGGAATGAAAAGCACGCTTTTCTTCAATTCCAAGCGTTGAGAGTACCTGCCCATTAAAATATGTAAATATGGAATCCGCAAACACCGAAACCAAAACCGCTGGTGTGTGACGGAATAATAATAATAGCTTTACACAGGAAACAAAAAGAGGATACCGCAGTGTCGATACCTCACAGTACATACTAGTTGCAGAGGGTGGGCAAAGACCGATGCAAAGCAGGGAGAAGTTGTCGAGAGTGGCGAGAGCGTGATACGGTGTAGGACACTCGACGATCAGCGTGGAAGAGTTTAAACCGTTCTCTTTTCGATCAAGACTGCTGAGCAGGACCGCAGATGACGGCAAAGCAGAGCGTGAAAAGCCAAAAAAAGGCATGGCAGCCACAACAACAACTACAAAGAACACGGTCATGCATAGGAGAACGCAAAGGAGAGTTCGGTTAGACAAAGTCAGTTGATACGCCTTTACATTTTTATAAGCAGAAGATACTGTCCCCGGATATATAGATGAATGAGAACAAAAAAAAAGGCTCGATAGCCTTTTCAGAGCGTAGTGAGAGAATGTGTGACCTTTGGCCGGATTCTCGCGATCGTCAACGCAGAATGTGGCCAAAACGAATACATGAAAGAAACGCAATAGCTTTCAAGGCAAGAGTTTCTACACCCTTGGGATGTTCTTCAAAACCAAGCTACGCAACAGCTGCTGGCACGTGGTGCGGTTAGGCGTGGACACACCATACGTGCCAACGCCCCACAGCGCCCACATGTTTGCCGGGTTTATCGTCAGAGCGCGTTGCAGCAAAGTCAGGCCGCGCAGCTTTAGAAGCTCCAACTCGTCCTCCTTTCTGATGCCACACGGCGCTAAGGTCTCGTTTTCTCTTGACGCACGTGGTGTCGGCGGCTGGGTGGAGGCGTCCCGCAGATACGACAGCCCTAAACTGGTCAGCGCCCAGTCGTTTCGGGGGTAGTAGCGTAACGACTTCAGAAGCCACGCCGCCGATGCCGACACGTGCTGGTGGTTGCTGTTCAGCGGTCTTGTTGGACCACCACCGGACATGCGAACACGTCGTGCCTCTTCACTCATCCAGTACGCAGCGTAGGACAGCCACACGTGATCCATCGCGTGGGCGCAGTTCTCCGGCGAGGCCCGCCGTGCAGCCGAGTCCGACTCGGGTGGCAGACGGGTGTGCGCAGTCGCAGCCGCTGAATTTAAAGCAGCAGCGAAGAAGTCAACCGCCTCCGTCGAGGTCGCCCCGACAACGCCGTGAGAGCACGGCGGGTGCAAAGCAGTTGACATGGAAAGGGAGGTGGCCCCTTCATGGACCCCGCAGCTAGAAAGTGACGAGCTTACCGACAGACAGCGCAGGCGCCCGAGGCCGCAGAGGGCGCCAACGTTCGCAGGGTCCGCGCGAAGGGCACGCTGAAAGCCCTCCTCCGCTAACTGTAAGTGACGCAGCGACCTGGCGTGGACAGAGGGAGGTGCCAACGACAAGGAATGCGCAAGAGCGACGGGGTCAAATGGAGACTGCGAAGTGCTTCGCAACTTTCGGTAGTCTTGCACGGCGTGCGCGTGGTGCACAACGGCGTCGTGGCAGAATTGCACGAGATGCGGCGGGACGCTGAACAAGGCGGATGTGTCCACCACTCCTGTTGGTCGAAACCCAAGCAGCGAGGCGGTGGTCCGCACGTCAACACAGTTTCCTCCCCGTGTGAGGTGGGCGGCGCTAACACCGCCTGGAGACGCTCTCGGAGCTGGTGCGTTTGTTTCTGGCGTCGCACGCCACAGCTGCGAAAAACGGCACGGAACGTTGTGAATGTGGCTCCACGCCAATCCCACCTCAGCGGTGGGGGTGTACTCCTTGTGCGCCGCGTAGTCGTTGCGAATGACCTGTAAGTACGCGTGTGCCGTGTCGGGGGAACCCACGCGATGGGCAGCGTAGCAGTGACCAAGCCAACACCGAAGCGCCGCGCTTGTGTTGTCATGTTGTACAGCATCGAGCAGCGAAGAGGGGATCCCCAGCTGCGTGCCGCCCTCTCCATCTAGTTGCATTAACGCAGCTGGCGGCACAAGCGTGACTTGCATTTCACGCAGCTGATCGACGGAGGTGGAGGTGAAAATGTGCTTCAGTGTGTCGCGATCGGCGAGTAGCTCGCTATGAACGCTGCGCAAGAACTCCTCGCCACCGCGCAGCGTCATCCACCGGCAGCGAATGGCTGCGTTGGCGTTCGACCAGAACTGACGCACCCACTTCTCAGCCTCCTTCACGCGCGGCGCTGGCGAAGGCTCCGCGGCGGCTGACGCTACTGAAGTTTTCGTTGCCGCTTTGGATGCGTTCGTTGTCACTTCCCTCCGCCTCTGCTGCCTCGCCTCCATCGTGGTGAACAGTGTTTGGAGATTGGCATGCGATGTTGATGCTGAGGAAGATGTTGCCGCAGCCTTCTTCTCGGTTTGCAAGGACACAGACGCCGCGTTGTTGAACACCTCCGCCGCCTCCCACTCCACCATCCACCACAGCACCATCGCCGTGTACGCGAAGTGCTCCGGCGTCTCGACTGAAGCGCCGCCGCTGCGCACCGCCTCCCACGCCTTGGAAAGCGAATTCGTGATCCGTGTCGCCAGGCTGTTCTTGGGGCTTTTCTTTGTTGCTGAGACGGCGGCTGAGGGCCCCACTGCGGTCGATTTAGTGGAGCTTTTCACCAGCGCATTCGATTGTTTCTCCTGCCTCTTTGCAACGGATGCGCGAGACGTCCACGAGAGAATCTGCGGCGCCTCGCCCGCCTTCTTGCTGAGCTTATCCTCTTTGTTTCGTTGTGGCTCTGCCGACTTATTGGATTCGGCCGCTTCGCCTTCGTCCTCGTCAAGTTCAGAAAGGATGCGTTTAACGGCATCGCGAAGCTGCACCTTCATGCTCTTCTCCGCCGACCACAACACGCCTTCATCCTTCTCTTCGGCCCCTCTCCTGTCCGCACCACATCCTTCCAGCGCAAAAGGCGTTTCCGTGTCGCTCAGCGCAAACACGCCGCGCAAGATTTGGCTTGTCCTGAGGTATACTTCCTGGGCTGCCTCCACACTCCGCACGAGATCATCTACCGGGTCGTCTGTGGTTGCATTCTGATCCCCTGCCATCTCTTCTGGTTGATCAAATCCGGCGTTTCTCCACAGCGTGCGCTCTCCTGCTTCGACGCTCGGCAGGGAGTACGCCCCTACCACGAGCGTCTGGCGAGCACGACAGGCGCGGATGAGGAGCGAGCACCTACAAGACTCTGCCACCAGCTGCGTAGCGAAGAGAAAAAGACCGTCGTCGAGCTTCGCGACGTGCGCTTGTCGATTGTCCGTGAACGCCGCCGCAATGGCGCCAGCGGCAGTGGAAGAAGAAGAGGAGGCGGAAGACCCTCCTGCCTGTTTGGCTGCATCTTCTGCGTTGGACGTTGTGAGTGCCCACGCCGTCCTCCACCAATCCTTTTCCGCGCCGCGCGAATCCTCTCCGCTGTCCTGCCGTGACCCCGGAACCAATCCCTCGCGTTGCATCGTGCGTGACGCGGCACGCAGGAGTCGTCCCCGCACCTGCAAGTCGGCTTTCAGGGAAGATACAGCGAGTTGGAAGTGTCGTGCCGCCCGTGGCCACCGCGCGCCACCATCGAGGCGGTGCATCCCGTCGACATAAAGCGCGAAGCAGCCCAGGAGAACGGATGAGGTGGCGGTGAGGGCTGGGACAGCTGCCCGCAACTCCGCACCCGGCGTGAGCTCCACACCGCTGCCGCTCGTGTCCATCAGGACGCTGCTGCTCTGAAGAGCAGAGGACTGGGTGATGGAAAGCTCCAGGCCTTCTATGACGAGCGCCACAACCGACTCCGCGTTCGTAGAACCGGAGTACTCGATCACGGCCCATGGATCGTGCTCGAGGTGAACGGGTGATAGCTGCTTTTCCGACCCGCGGATCTGCAGAATCGCACTACGTAGATACGCGCCAAGCAGCCCGCCCAACGCGCCACCGTCGTGGAGGTGCTGCGAGACGATGGTGCGTATCGCACGTGCAAAGAAGAGCACTGCGATGTGTTCACGTGCAACCAAGTCAGCAGGCTCCTCAGCCCTATCCGAAAATTTGTTCTGATGTTTGGGCCGCCTGCTTCGTCCATCGCTCTGCGTTGCACGCACAGTTGTGCTCGTTGATGATGCGCGGTGTCGCAAGCTCACATAACGCCGAAACGCCTCCCACTCCTCCTGCACCACCCCAACACTTTGCTCTAGCTCGCCCAACTCGCGCAAGTCGCGACTGCCAGAGTGCATGGACAGGTTACTCTCCCACTTCGCCGCTGTGGGTGACGCTCCGCTCGTCGCATCGATACCGATGGCACGCTCCTGCTGGCTCAGCTCAAAGACCCGCAGCAGATCGGCCGCTTGTCGCGCCCAGTAGATGAGAAGCTGCAGAGGTACACGAAAGGACACCATCTCGTCCACCAGTGGGTGGCCGTCCGGACAGCTGTCCGCCGCCTCCCCTTCGGACCCGCACGTTTGCAAGGTTAGCGCTTCACGTTCGTAGAAGCGAGTCACAAAGTCCATCACGTCCGCCGCGAGGAGGAAGATGGAGTCTAGCTGAGGCGGTATGGCAACCCCAAAGAAGCGATGGAGAAGCTGGTGGAGGTCTGCCAGCGCCGCCTCTAGCACGGGCAGTGCCAAGCGCGTCTCCCCCAGGCCCTGCTGCAACGCACGTAGGCACCGTTGGTTGCCCGTGCAGGATCGTGCGTACACTGAGGAAGGAGCGACGGGTGGCGCTGCTGGACCGTCTTCCTTTCTGCCGGATATACGAGACATCAGTCTGGAAGGGTCAAACAGCACCGACCATCCACTCTCGTAGCTGTCACCCATTTTTTCAATCGCAGAGGACTTCGTGGTCTCACCTGGCGAGCCGGATGGTGTGGGAGCTGGAATGCCACCGAACAAAGACGCTGGCAGAGCTTGCCCATGCTGCCACTTCAGCCGTCCGCGCTGCTGCATGCGATCCAGCATTCCGTACACAATCGCGTACGAGGGAGACATCTTGGTAAGCGGCCGGCAAATCTCCCCGTGATCGGCGTTGACGAGGTAGAAAGGGTACCGCGGATCGTCCGGGGCCGGGTTGGCTGACTCGGGGTCGACCACCCGCACGAGACCGTTGAGCTTCTTCGTCTCGCCAAATGACACAATCCACACCGTTCCGCGCGCGCGATCGCCGCTTTCGGCAGACGACATCGTTGAACTGGAGGACGCCGTCCAGGTGCTTGGCTCCAAAGTGAGCGACGACTCCATCGCAGCCACGTAGTTCCTAACGGTGGTGTCGCTTTGCGACGTCGTCAGTACAGACCCAAGACTCCCAACGGCAGGCTCACCGCCGACCCTTTCGATCACGTCGAAAAAACGGTCATTGAGACGCATCAGCTCGTGTTTGTTGTGATCGCCCAGCCCGGTCACCACGCTCGTCGGGGTGAGGCCACCCAGTCCCTGGTAGTACTTTTGTAAACCCGTAATAACACTAGCCACGGCAGATCCAAAGTGCGGGGTGCCGTAAAAGACAACGCCTCGCACAGCGCGCAGCAGCACGTTTGCCTTTTGCACCGCCGCACAACTTCGGCTGACGGCGACCGCCTGTGTCGTGCGTTCTGCGGCGCTGAAGTCGGTGGCGAGGGAGAGAGCGGCGGCGGAAGGCGGGGCGAGGCGAGCGGCCTCGAACAGGGAGATGAGCATTTGCTTGAGCATGAGCCCTCCCATTGAGTGCACCAGAAACACAACGGGTCTCTGCCCTACGCCGACCTCCGGACTGCCCAACCGCTCCGCCAGCTCCGCAGCAACAACGCGCATGTTCTGCAGACTTCGTATATCCCGTGAAGGTTTCTCTGCTTTGTCCTTTGCAGCCTCGTCAGCCTCTGGGGTGGAGCCGGAAAGGTTGCCAGCGCTGCTTTCATCCTCGGCGGCCACGAGGGACCCGGTAGAGTCACGGATGCTCGTCAGCAGCTGGAAGAGAGTGTTGCCTGCGTACTGGTTTTGCTTTGCCTGCGTCGTAGATGCACCACCAACTAGGAGGTCCTCCTCCTTAGCGGCTGCTGTGTCCACTGTCGTTTTGAGTAGAGTTTGGCTAGTCTGTTCTTCCCCGCGATGCCGCGGCTCGCTTTCCCTCGTCCACCACTCAGACACCTCCTTCGGCGTCAAGGTGGAGGCCGACTCTCTCGCCGACTGCCCAACTCGATCGGCGAGCGATTTAATGTGACGAAGTGGGTCACTTTCCTCTGTCAGCGATGGTTGCGACGACGCCGAGGAGGGAGACACCGAGCCATCGGCAGGTTGTTCCGTCGAGGACGACAGAGGTAACAACGGTTTCGCAGGCGTCCCCGCGTCCTTTCTCGCGTCGACTTTCCAGTTAAACAGGGCGTGCGCGTAGCCGACGGTCAGCACTCTGGCCATGGGGAAGTCTTGAGGGAAAAAAACTGCCGGCCACACAATTCCCTGCGCGTTTGTCCAGCACTTAAATTCATCACTACCGATTCCATGCAGGAGTACGATGTCGAAGTCGGGGCCATTCGGAAAGGCGGCCGGGTCGGGCTCGTGCAGCAGAAACACCCGGTTTGTAACCTCCTTGAATTTAGGAGAGTTCTGCAGGTACGGCTCACTCGTCGTCGCAGGGTTCAACACACCATCTGAAAAGAACTCCTCGAGGCCCTCACGATTGAACTCCATCTCAGGAAAAGCAGGTCAGGAAGGGGTTGCTTTTGTTGTTGTTCTGTATGTTTCGCCTCACCTTCAGCTGCACTTTAGTTGATATATATGGATGAAGGTATATATATGCATGTGTGTATAGGTGTGCGATGAAGTGTTCTTGTTCGATTCCAGCGTGGTGCCACATTTTTTGTTATGAAGCGCCCCCCTCTTCATCACGAACGAGAGAGGAAAAGAAGCGGGCACCGAAGTAGGTGCGCTGCGGGAGATGGCAGACAGCGAAGAGCGACAAAGAACAATCAGAAGTGCAGAAAATGAAGGAAAAGAGCTCTAATTGCTTAGCCGGCCGCACACTGATAATAAAGCTGCAACAGGGATTCTGACGTTTATTTCACATCGAGGACGCCTTTTAGGGAGGAGTGCTGCAGCGGACCGCTTTTCTTGACTGCACGAGAGTGAAATCATTTGTGAAACACCTAAAGACTCTTCTCTCCGATGTATATGTGAAGCTGTAAAGTTGGTTTCAGGCTTCCCGAGAAGCAGTTTAAGGTCGCTGAGTTCGCTTTGCAGCTTCTTTTGTCTTCTTTAAAAAGTCTCCTGTTTTTTAAGGGGGGAATCTCTGCAACTTGAGGAGAAAAGGAAGAGAAAAGAGGATCACGGCCGAACTGTGCTGTGCAAAAGCGCCAGTGGTGAGCACCGGCGATACGACATCATCAGAAAACAAAGACAAAGAAATAAATTTAAAAACCCTTCAGCCCTAGCGGGATGAAGACGCACAATAATTGAAAGCACTCGACCAAAGCTCTTTTTCGCTTTGAGGTGGAAGCGTAAGTGCAAAGGTGAGAAACCGTTTTTTCGACCGCAACGAATGCCTATTCCCTGCTCTTGCCACGCATCGTGAAATCAACGGTAAAAGCCACATTTGGGGGAAAAACTTTTTTGGCCTGCTCCGCTCCAGAACGTCAGCGAGTCAGAAGAAAGAAGAGGGGGCTAATATACATGTCGGAAATTCAACGTTTAATGTAGCATACTACTAGGAGAGGGAAATGATAGAGAAAAAATGGAAAATGTTTAGAAGGTATGAAGCACACTCCCGCTCCTTTCAGTGGGTGTTTTTGAAGAGCAGCTTGTACACCTACTGCCTTTTCCATCCAACTCTGAAACGCAGCAGTTGAAAAAAGCGGTCAAAGTCAGCTTACAGATACAACAAATGTATGTATAGAATCACCTGAATATATCACGTCTTTCCGTTTTAAAAAAAAAGGCCAGATAATAGGAATTGAAGTGACGGCTAACAAAAATGATCAGTTTTTGATGTGTGACCAAGTGGCAATATTAACAATGGATCAACGAGGGGAAAATGCGTATCGCGAAGAGATCTGTGAGCTACCCTCTCCTTCAACAGCCATAAAGACTCCTTTGCGGCAGCAACCAGTCGGAGACGTCTTTCCACTGTTGAAGAAATGAACAGTTGAACAGCAACGCGTAGAGAAACAGAAAGAACAATAGCAACGGCACGAACTTCACGACTCGCGGCAGCCGTGTTTGACGCCGAACTCAACACCTTTTCATGCCGAAGAAAGGCAATTAAAAAAGCTGCACCGCTGAGAGCGGCCAAGCATGCCAGTGTCCAGAAAAATAGGGAGCCGCTGCTTACGGCGAGAACACAACGCTCATCGCGTTCGCTTTTCCCACCAAAGAGTCCAGACGTTGAGCCCAACGCTGCTTCTCGCCGCGATAGAACAATCCAGGATACTCGCGCTCCATATGAATTCCGTGTGCCTCTACTGCGTTCCAGAGTCGATTTACGCTGGCCTGCAGCAGCACCTTTTCCGCGTGATAAGGAGACGTGGTCGTCATATCCACCCCCTCATCGTCACGTTGCGGAGTGCTGGGGATGCCAAGGTCTTCCATCTGCACCTCCGCTTTGCAGGTGGCAGTCCCGGCCAGGGAGCGCAAAGAGGCCCGCGCTGCCCCTAGAAACCCGCTGCTTTCGCGCCGCTCTCGCAGGACCGCCTCCTGACGCTCGCGCTGCCGTTCGATAGCCATGATGGTGACGGGGTCCTTTTCCTCCGCGACACACACCTCCAGCACCCGTGTGCGGTGCGTTTCGTCTTTCCGTTTGATATCCTTATCGAGTGCTAATTTCAGGGAGCGGACGCTGCCGCGCAGGTCCGAGTAAGTCTCGAAGCAGCCGCGAAGACGCCCGCGATCCTCTGCGGTGATCGCCCACGCAACTTTGTTGGGAGGCAGAGCCTCACGCATCGTGCTCTCGCGTGCGACGAGGACTAGCTCTCGGCGTGAGGAACCAGCTGCGGTTGCTCGGCCTGGGCGTTCGCCAGCTCCTGGCTTTTGAGAGAGTGATGGAGGTTTGGGCATGTGATGCAACTCCGCCACGGCGTCCCGTGCGTTCGTCACGAGGGTTTCGTACATCTCTTCGTAGCGCTTGAAAGAAGTCCGGTCGTCTTCGTTCAGGCAGATGCTCAGCAGCAGGCGAAGAGTATTGCGGAGAAACCCGAATTGAGGCACGGTGGGCCGAAACACAATCTTTGGCGGCTCCTCGTTGTCGCCGGTCGCCCAGGTGTGGGGAGAGGAACCAGATGCTGGCACTCCGACGCCGTAAGCTTCAGGAAGCCCACCCGCGTAGGCGCCGTGTTGGAAGGCGTCGTACGGGGACAGACGTGTGTCTGCGCGAACCAGACTTGTCCGTGATGCCGCAATGTGCTGCAGGCGCTCCATCTCCGTGGTCATGTCCTCCATGAGAATGCGCAGCGCGTAGAAGTAGGCGGGTTGCAACAAACGCTGATGAATCCGCGCGTCGAACAGGGCGTACTGGGGCAGGAAAAAACACTCGGCTTGTTGGTAATACATGTCATAGATGTGGCTCACGTCGCGGATTTCGTAGCGATGGATACGCACCGTCTTGGTGGCAGGTCGCCGTGTAGTCGTCCCGTTCGTCTCTGCAGGTCGCTTCTCACCGGACGTCGGTGTCTGATTGTCTCTTCGCTGGCTGGAATTGTTGGAGGGTGGAATTTCGTAGGTGCCGGCCTTCGGGACGTCATCTTTGCCGCTCAAAAGCCCCAACACGCTGCCAGCCCACTCCATCAGGGAGTCACACGCTTGGATGAACTTCGCAAAGCTCCGCTGGACCTGCGCGGAGGGTAGCTGTGTCGGGTCGAGGGCAAGTAAGGTTCGGTACGTTGGCAGGGCGATCGAGGGCGCGGAAGTCTCCCCTTCACTTTGGCCACCCCCATCCCCCAGCGCCCCGCCGGCGCCCCGTGGCGCTACCGAAGCCACGTCGACCGACACCGGCTCAGCCGCAAGCTGGTGCGGTGGTGCTGGCGCTAGTGCTTCGGTAGGGATCACCGTCTTCATGTTCGTCCTTTCCCACATTGGCTTTTGCATGCGTTGCCTCTTTTCATCCTGGGCAACATACTGGCGCAGCGCCTCCACGTCGGTCGTCCACAGGTAGGCGTAGGCTACGTTGATTGACTGTAGCATCGCTTTAGAGCTGTCCAACTCGGCAACCATCACGTTAAGCGCGTCGAGTTGCGGGCGAAGATAGCCTTTAGGGTTCTGCAGCAGCGGTGGTGCCATTCCGGCGGATTCGGACAGCACAATGCCGTATGGAACAAGGGTGTTGTTGCCGGTTAAGTGAGGGTACACGCTGCCGGTTTCATACGCAAGGGTGCCAGCGTCTTGTACTACCTGCGCCTGCGGGACGTCCTCCACATTCAACGGCGTAGAGGTGAGAAATAGCCGAGTGACTCGTTCTAGATGGCCGAGAATGGATTGACACGCGTTGGTCAACGTGTCTACGTCGTGCACGTTTACGCGAAACAAAGAGTTCACGGTGGGTTGCTGCACAAAGAACTCGGTAAAGGTAGCCAGCGCGCGCTGGTCATCTTCGCAAGGGTACACGACAGCCATTGTTGCGGAGCGTGAATAGTTATATATGAAAGTGATGTGAATAGAAAAACATATAGCAGGAATTCAAAAACAAAAAACAAAAATGTGCAACTCTGACTTTTCAAATGCGCGTGAACGGTTGTGTGTTCGTGTAGACTAGTGTTTTCTGATCTGGGTACGTGCGGGAAAGCACCAGTTCTGCAACAGTCCGAGTACGTCAGATGAAGAAAGAAGAGATATCAGAAAGAAAGAGATGTTGAACTGGTACATCGAAGTCACGCAACAAACAACGAAGACCAACGACGCATAAAGTAGGCTTTTGTTGTTGCTGCTTCTTTTAATAAAAGCACACCTTTCGTGAATGCGCAGAAGAGCTCCACTGCTGTCATTTAGCGACCATACAATTTTGATTTGCGTCAGCGAAACTGCTTTTTTCTTCTTCTTAACGACGTGTGAAAACAACGCTACTCGCTCGACAACAAAAAAAGAAAACAAAAAGTTTCTCAAAGCGACAAAGAGAAAAAAAAACGGGTGAGAAAAAAAGTACGCGGGCTGCCGCGAAGAAGACAAGACGAAATAAACTTGGTTCTTCATTTATTTGTTTTTTGCTGCCGCTCTACCACCCTACGCCGCTGCGTTCTTGACTTCCCGCTTGCGCTCCAGATCATACCTGTCCCACTCCTCCATTGATTTGAACGGCTTGGCAATAATGTAATGCGAGGTCCCGAAGTGCTTACTCTCCCACTTCTCAACTGACAGTCCGCTGAGTCGGATAATTCGTCGCATGTCACGATTCCACCAGCAGCCCCAGTTCTTCGCGTGTCGTGGCGCCCATTTGTCAAGGTGGTTGTTTACACGTCCGGTGTGTCCTTTGCCATGTTCGATGAGGAGGAGCCTTCCACCAGGTTTGCACACGCGCGAGAGCTCCCGCAGTGCACGGACCGGGTCATCAAAACTGCACAGCCCAAACATATCGACAATCGTGTCGAAACTGTTGTCTGGAAACGGCAGCTGCTCAGCGGCGTAGTTTGCCACCGCGAAGAGCGGTTGCTTTTGCAGATTGTGGTGCTCGTCCAGCAGTTCGTTTGGCGTCTTCAGTGCGTGGGGCTTCGCTGATGTCGCCTCATTTAACGAAGTGTCCGCTGTGCTGCGCCGCACTAGGCTTTCCTTTTCCTCTCTGCGCAGCTGATTCTCAATACGCAGGCGGAACTTTTGCCGGGCACGGATGTCCTGCTCGCGCTTCGCCAACGCAGCTTCGTCCTCCTTGGACAGAAGAGGCAGCTTGTCGCCGGCGTCAAAATTATGCAGCACAGGAACTATCACGTCGTTTGTCGAACCCGCTGCGTTTTCGGCAGTCGCCACCAGAAACTCTGCCTCGTCGTTTCCACTGAGAGGTGTCACCAACACCTCCTGAACAGTCCCGTCCTCGTACACAATCTTGCGCTTCCGATAGGCAGTTTTAGCAGCTGCCTCATTTCCTGCGCCATCCGCGCTGCTTCGCTCCGGGTCCAAGCGCGCCTCGATGGTGCTTCGGATAGCTGCGATGTTGTAGTCAGGATACCGATAAGGTGCGTACCCCAAACGATTCTGGATCCTAGCCACGCACGACTGCACCATGCCAGCCGAGCGATCGCACAGAATGATCTCGTCGCAGGGGTTTTCCTTTACGATGTGTTGTAACATGTAGCTGGTGGCGTTTTCCCCGCTCCTCGCGCCTTCCTCCACCCTATCTGACGCCCAATACCTTCTCAAGTGCTTTTGCACTTCTGGATCCTCTGTGAAGTATGAGTGCGGGTAGTATGCGTAGTTTCCTCCGCATCCTGCTCCGACTTCCAGCACACGGCCTCGCAGAAGCCCTTCGTCGCGCAGCATCTTCCTTCGCCAACGACTGAGTCCCAGATAGAACTCCTGACACTTGGTCTTTTTTTCGTACAGGTTGTTGACAGAAAGTACATCATAGCTCTTCAAGCGGTCGTTGTTGCTCACGGTGTAGTTGGGGGGAGGCGCCAAAGTGAGTGCGGCCACGTACGCAGTGCCACAGAATATCGTGACACACGAGGTGCCGACAATAACCTTGCTCAGAAGCTTCATAAGCAAAGAAAACGAAACTGCTGCGTATCAAGAATTTTCGTGCAGGCGTGTGAGCAAAACAAGAAACCGAAGAAGGGAGCAAGAAACGTAGAAGAATGGGAAAAAAGTCAAACATGCGGCTAGTACAGAGAAATGCGCATGAGTAGATGCAGCAACACGACCGAAAACGGAACAGCTGTTTAAGAAAAACAACCCAAGTAACTCTACTCGAGCGCACGCACGAAGACGTGGAACCGTGCACACAGGGCTGGGGCAGCTGACTTGAAAAGGGAAGAAAATCGGTTCCGACTGCAGGTCATCAAAACGTAGTCGAAAAAGATGGCTCAGAAGATTATCCTTCTTGCCGTCTTCCTTCACTTTTCGTCCTATAAAAACTTTTTGAGTGATAGCATTGCCAAAAGATAGTTAAACACGTAGAAAAACGTCTTTATATATAAGACGATTCTATTAGTGTTCATCGAGGCTCAAGTATGAAAAAAAGTTCCACTCGTTTTCCTACGGTGTTTGCGTTTTTTGTTAGTATTGTTCCCGTGTTGTGCTTTGTCCATGCTCGGACAAAAATGGATAGCCGACCTGGTGTACCTAGTATCGATTAATTTGCCATAACCAAGGCATCGCTGACTCACAGTGTGAGAAGAAATAAGAAAGAAAACTAATTTAAAAAAAAAACAGGAGAGTAAGAGAGAAAAATACATTTTCCTGAGTCAGCGAATACCTACATTACTATTCGCAAAATCAAGACGACACTAGACCGTAAAGTGGCTCGACACAAAGCGGAGCATCAAATCAGCCTGCGTGGTGAGGCTAAACCGCTTGAACGCGTACTGCTCGCAATGTGGCCCTTTCGTCTTTTTCCAGTCCTCCGCGAGCGCCTGCTGCACCGCAGCATACACGCGCTGTGCGACTTCTTCGTTTGTGCCCTCATCGATAAGGGTGCCGACATCATCATTGACAAAGTCCAGCGGACCGCCGGACTTCGCACCGATGACAGGCGTTCCACAGCCCATGCACTCGATGAACACCAGACCAAAAGGTTCATCTTTGCTCGGGAAAACCGAGACGTCGGTGACGGTGTATATGTCAGCCAGGTTAGGCTGACTCTGTGGACCAAGGAAGAAAGTGTGCTTCAGATGCAGCTGCTCATATGCCATGTCAACGTAGAGCTTCCGCGACTCCTCCGAGCCGTGTCCGATGATGAGAGTGAGAATCTTCAGCGAACTCTTTTCCCAGTTGCTGGCAGCCATGAGAACAGAATCGAGGCGCTTCCAATCAGCAAAGCGGCCGCAAAAAACGACCACCTTGTCGTACGAGTTCACGTCAGGAATGCACTTACCAGAGGCAATGCACTGCATATCAGAAGGAAGCTTAGAACCGTCGAAGCCGTTGTACAAAACCTGCGGCATGCTTCCAAAGGCCTTCTCACGTGTCATACCCTCAATCGGGTGGAACACCAACTGGTTGTACCCGCACGGGGTTACGGCAACACGCTCAGGTGGGAAGTTGGGGAACAGCTTCTCGAATGTTTCCTTCTGCGGATCTGACACTGCCAAGACTCCAGACACCTTGTCAGTGTTCTCAAAGATCTTTTTAGTTCCGCGAATCCAGTCGTAAAACTTCATGGGAAAATCGGGAAGCGTGTTGATCTCGTTCTCGTACATCTTCAGCGCCGTGCCGTGCGCAAACGTTACCAACGGTGCCCGCGGAATACCCTGAGCGGTTCTGCGACCAATGATTTCGGACAGGATCACCGGGTTCATGAAGCAGTGATGGGCGAGAAAGAGGTTGATGCGTTTGCCGTGTTTCTTCTCAATGTACTCAATGTAGTCCAAACACTGCTGAAGTAGGTTGTCGCAGTAGGACGTAACCTCCTCTTCAGACATCGAATGCCAGCGCTTGCTGCTCTGAGGTCCCACACTTTCGCAAATTGGAATAGGGTGCGGAATCTCGTACACGCGATAGTCGTCACAGTCCTTTGGGGTCTTCTGGATGTCCGACGGCCAAATGGAATAGCACTTGCAGTTTTCCAGAGAGTTCATTGCGACATGCTGGCCATGGTGAAGAATACCAGACCCTGGAGCAAATTGACCGGGCCCTTGCCAGTTATTGGTACCCAGGGCAAAAATTAACCACTCTTTCGACATCTTTGGAAATACGATTGATGTCTTGGTTTTACCGAGTATGGAGTTCTTCAACAACTAAAAGATATATAAAGACGACGCATCGTGGTAAAAAAAGAGTTTGTCGAATACATTTATCAGAGCAAAGAGAGCTATAACGCGTTTCCGTCAGCTGCAATGAAAGAGAATCCCAATCAACGCTCGTCATTGGAAACCACACACTCCTACACCACGACGAGAAAAGATACCTACAATCCGAAATCAAAGCCGCAAGACAGGCTCGAGTTCTATTGCAGACATTGTGTTTGTCTTCCTGTATTGCTTCGATTTGTTTAGATTAACACAAGTACTACATTGTTTTTTACATGAGAAACTCTGGCACTATAAGCACCGCCCTATAGTCCTTTGAAAACAACAATCGCAACGTATCCCTTGTGGAACATGTACATGAGGTGCTTCAGCTCATACGTGATTTCGAAGCCGAAACCTTCGCCGATAACGCAGTGCCACGACGGTCCGAACTTCTTGTCCATCTGTTCCTTTACGTACTTGGCAGCAAGTTCGTAACTGTCCTCGTGCTTTTCGATCGCGTTCACTACAATTTCGCGGCAGTCAACTCTCATTTCCTCCGACATGTCACTTGTTTTTTCGAGAGGGTAGTTGAGTGCCTGTGTGTAGCGACGAATGTACTCGTGGTTGCACGGTCCTTCCGGCTCCTTTACTTTGGTCTCCATTTTCTCGACAAAGCACAATAACGGGAAACTACCAGAAAAAGATAGCTGAAGCAAAAAGAAAGAAAGAAAGAGATAGGAAAAGATAGGAAAAGATAGGAAGAGAATGATGAGGAGAATGAGAAAGAGCTGCAGCAATCCAAAGTAAACGTTGAGCACAGAAAGTCTCGGTTTTTAAGCCCACAGATCTGCATCTATAAGAATGGTCCTCATCGGACCAAAACTTACGACAAAAGTGTGGCATTAGCTGTGTCCCAATCAAAAGTGACTTAAGTGTGTTTTTGTGATGGTGGTCAATGGTGCATAAAGCAAGCAACAAAAATGAAAAGTTCAAGCATACTGTCGAACAGGAGCTTTGTCCTCTTCTTTTTCTTCTTCCCCTTCCTCTTCCGCTGACTTTCGAACCTCGGGGAGAAGATGCTGCGGAACATTGACATCGGGCAAATTTTCCGCTTTCGTTTTTCCCATGGCGCCCTCTAGTTCGCGCAGCAGTTCATTGTCGTCAGGCACTCCCGCCAATGGCTGACTCAGCAGCGCGTTGATTTGGTTTGCTTCCTCGATTGACTCGCTCGTCTCGTCCATGAGTTTCTCGATATCATCGATATTGAGCATTTTGTTAAGGTTATCAAGCTCGCTTTTGCCGTCACGCATGGCTGCCACCACCTCTCCCTCAACCTGCGCAAACTCAACTGTGTCGATCAGGTGCTGCACGCTGTTCAGCATGTCCGTGACGGTAGCAATCTGCGCCTCCTGCGCCTTTTCGCGTTTGAGGCAATAGAGTGCCTTTCTCTTGTTGCCGGCGAGCAAAAGTTCCTTGGCTTTTTCATGCTCCAGGCTTGCCACACGTTCATACTTTCGAACGGCAGCTTGCAGGTTGTCTCTCTGAAGTTTCATTTGTAAGCGAACCTTGTCCGAGCTTGTGATCTGCGACTTTTCAGGTTTCGGCTTCGCGTTGGCCGCAGAGGACTTTTCAGATTTTGAGTTGCGCGTTCCCATTTTGTGTTTGGTGCGAATTGATCTAGTAGTAATGTATTCAAAAAGTCAACTAAAAGCAATGAAAGTTGACAGAGAAAATGAAAAAGTAATGGCAAAGACGAAATAGAGGACACAATCACTTATCGACATCCATGCGCGCCACGGCTCAAACTATAGAGGTGTCGCTGTCAGTAGCTCTGTGAAACTGTAGCCGGCAAGAGAGCAAAGGAGACACCACTAGCTTTACAGACACCTATATTTTGTATGTCAACTCTACTTGACGCTTGTAAGCAAAAAGCAGTTTTCAACGCCGATCCAGCTCAGCTAGTTTTAGTCTCAGATCCGGTGCGCGTGTTCGAAGCCCGTCCTCACATTATCGCCAACTGATTATTTGACATTTAATTCTATTATCTGTGAATTGCCGCCATGAGCATCGCTGCAGTTAACAGAGAGTCGAGCACCAGCATACCTATGAACACATATCGTGATGAACCTCACAAACCTTATCAAACACTTCGCAAATCTGATTTGATGCTCGAAGGTCTTCTATACCTCCTCGCCCCTTTGCCAGTAACAAGTGGTGAAGCAGCATGCAAACCATTGCAGTTGCCATCAAAGCAACAGCTACAGACGCGGCAGTTTTGGGTGAGATCAGCAATGAAGTACCGTTGGTTGCATTGTAGCATCTCTGAACCCTGCGACAAGGGCAAAAATGAAGTACAATTTTAGCCTCTCTTTCTCTCAGCAAACTGTCGCGTTTCACACTAGAAAAGAAATCCACCACGTTCACGTCAAAATAAAGGTTGTTGAAAAGCCGCGACCGCGTCTAAAATCCTCCTGCCCGTTCTCTCTCCAACCCCCAACCCTCTCGTTTTCATTCGCGTCAGTCACTTCGTGCTTAAACATGGACCTGCCACCCTTTGCGGACAACATGTTATCAACAACCACGGTCTAAAGCCGGAAGTGAGAAACTGAGAGGTGGTGAAGAGCGCGAGTGATGAGGCCAAGCGACACGTACGGAGCCGAGGGCATGTCGGC